TTTTGATGCATCAACTTTCTCATATAATATCTAACGCCAGCCTCAAAAAGTTGAGCATCAAAAAATTGGAAACATGCATGAAACTGTATTGTTATTTATAGCTATTTGTTTATTTAACAATGTGTTCAAATAATTTCATATATTCCTCCGAAAGCATTCCTTCCGCTTTCCACGTAATTACGAAGCTCTGGAAAAATCTCGAGAGTTTAACAATTGAGACTTCCGAGCGTGAAGCTATTGTATCCTTTACAAAGCACGCTAAAGCGTTCCCTGACAAAGAAGAATATCCTTTTTACGGATTTTCTTTCATTTTCAGAGAAGCTTCGAATTTTTCGTCAGACAGGGTGATACGAATAGTTTGCTACTAATTGAACAGTTTGTTGTACACTTACCGAGTGGTGCTTGGCGTGTAGCTGTCCGATATGCAGGAGAGACAAAGGTCGTACAAGGGACTTCGAGTTCCTCCATTCGTTCCTGACCTGTTGCTCCCTTTCGCGGCTGAAACAAAAAGTTGACCGGTTAAATAAAAACCCTTCAACCAGAGAGGGTTTCTATAAATAAACGAGGGGAGGAAGGGTGAGAACAAAGAGGCTGAGATAAAACGGTGGCGTATCAGTCGATGGAAATAAATCACGTACTATTTTTTGTCCTTTCTCCCTCGTAATATAGAATATTGATAGACCCGAGACACGGGGCAATAGAAATTTTCAGATTGCGTTAATTAAAGCATTCAGAGGAATTTCCTTTGTTTTGACTTTTTTTCCATTTTATTTTCGTTGCTGCTTTGTTTCCTCATTAAGTATTTTCCCGGCAATTTATCACGTCGAGGATTTTCAGCAATTTATCATTCCGATTGAAAGAGCTCCCCCGCGTTTTAAGAATCATCCGTGTGCCGCGTATAATGGATGACGGTGGATAAATTGAAAATGAAATGGTTTTCGATATTGTCACGTGCCCGCGCTGATGAACTTTATCAGGTGATTAATGACCGCTATCGTTGAATTATAGCACTCACGATTCTGGTGAAATTTAGCAAATTGCACGGTAAGATTTTCTCGCTCCCTGTTTCATCGGATTTGTTCTGTACTAATTGACAGAAAAAACAAACGAGCAAAAGGTATAGTTAATATTTGTCTGTAGTTTATAAATGTATTTATGTATTTATCTAGCAGTGATTCTAAGTTTCTCTATTCAGTACCAAAATGGCGGAAAAGATAACGAAAGTCCTCGGAGAAACGTGCATCGATGAAGTCCCTACATTTCTGCAAGTTCCGTCACTTCCATCCTCAAAAACGATCAAAAGAGGATCTCCAGCGGGAGAACTTCGTAATTAATCTCAATCTAGTTACATTAGAAAGCCGAGGGAAGGGAAGAATGTAAATGAAGACGGTCTATCTTGTTTGAATACGTGCAGCTCCAAGGAAATGATCACGACATACTTCGTATTTAACCTTCGCAGAGTGTTTTAATCCCGCCGCATGATAAATAGCTCGAGCTAGAGGGAAAGGGATGGAATCAGAGGGAATCGTCCTTTCTTTTCGCTCATCGATGCGACGTCGGAGTCGGAGGAACTCGCGTCAAGAATCGCGCCTTGTGTATTCCTTTCCATCTCTCTTTCTCTTTCTATCTTACACCGAAACAGTCTAACACTGATTAAAACCTCTTTTCCTTGCCACGTTCTATTCACGTCAAACTGGGAATCTTCGAGATAACTTGTATATGTGTGTGTGCGCGCGTGTGGGCCTGTGTAGACATTACTGAGATTGGGCCGGGTAGAAACGCTTCCTTCCGTTTGCTCTTCCTTCTGAATCCTTTTAGAGAAAATTAACTACAGCTGAATCTTACGTATGCCACGCATTCATCTTCAGACAGATCTATATCATTGTTACGTGGCCTGTCTCCTCTTGCTTTCCATCGAGTTTGCCTTCATTAGGCTTCCTTCAAAGGAACGTGTGACTTTTGCTTGGAAAGTTGAGCGCACCGGGGAATTCCACTTCCTTCTGAGAGTTGACATTGATAAGTGAAACTTTGGTCAAATGATCATCTTTCACTTTGACCCACACAGACTGTCTTCTCAATGCTTAAGAATTCCTTTTTACCGAAGAAAATTGATCTCGGTGACCTTCTATTATCCAGAATCGAAACTCAAGCAAAAGGGAGAATATTCGAGGGCGTTAACACGATCGTAGAGATCGTGAGAAAGGAACACAAAAGTCTGTCAGAGACTATCGATGTTTATCTCATATACATATATGCAATATTCCGAATGAAATTTGCAAAGGTTTCCTAAAATGACACTTGGACGGATAAGATACTTCCCATCAGCTTCCCTTAAAACAGGAACGCTCGGAAAAAATTGTATCAGTTATGCTCACGTTAAAATTCATTGTTCTCAACTCAGGTTAAGAAAAAAAAAAAAGAAGTGAGAGAGGAAGGAAAGGTGGGAGCAAGAAGAAAGGGACTTCGCCGCGTACCGCGTTCCTTTCGTTTCCATCCACGAGAAAGAATAACCGGAATTGCTCAGGGCTAGCGGCGGCCCGAGTACTTCTCCGGATTGTTAGCAACTGGGTCGAACCAATTACGTACGTGGCACGTAAACTTATGCTTTTGTAGTACAAGGTGATTCGGAGTGGTAACGAATGACTTCTTCGTTCGCTTACAGAGAAAAAGATAGATAGATAGGTAGATAGGGAGAGGGTAGGGGGCAGAAAAGTAGGAAGAAAAGCTATGCATCTTCGAAGAAAACCGCAACGAGTATTGGTTCTGTCTAGGAGAGAAAATACAACAGAGGCTTGTTAGGCTTCTTTGTTCGAACTTTTCTCAAAGGTTATCTCGATATAACTGGAAGAAGAGCACAAACTTGCTTCCTTCTTCTACGTTTGACACGTGTCCACCGTTTGACTGGAATGTTTCTTTTCTTTTTCGAAGATTCATTTAAACGTATCCCCGTTTTAAAAGCGTCTCCTCTTTTGGAATTAATAGCTCTCAGCAAAGTTGCATCCTTCCGTATTTCACCACCGAGAGGCAACAAGCATGTGCGAAGCAGTGTCGAAAGACGAGTTACGGGATTCCTGTCTGCACGCCCGTAAATCTAGCCGTACCGAGGCGCAATTTGCTGTTTCCTTTAAACAAAAGGAACGCCGCCGAGAACCACGTTAGGAAACCGACTTTAATTAACTGGAAGTTGTTGATAACAAAGGCTATCCCGCCTGGGGAACCGATATGGCACGTTTGCTCGATTAGAGAAAGAATAGGTTCTAGCTAATTGTTCGATTCGACGAGCTGTCTCTAGAGAAAATTGACCTTTATTCTTCTGAACAGTACCAGTGACTCGTGTACAGTCAATGGAAGCGAAAGTTTCGTTGGATTAATTTGTCAGGAATTTAACGTAACTAATATTCTATCCCTCCCTTATGACTTTTTTCCATATTATTCTTTGTTATTAATTTTACCCTTTCTTTTTTACTTCTATTATTTACTTTCTCTTGTACGAACTATACATACTGTTCGTTGTATAATAACGCTAATTTTATGGTATTACGAGGTCCATATTATTTTGGCCAAGTGAAAACATTGCATTCTTTTTTAACAAGAAGCATGCGGAATCACGAATTTTCACTTAAAATACTAAATCAAGCGTTACTCACAGGTATTTGGCCTCACTGTAGCTGTCTTCCGTGGCGGTGTGCGCAAGGGCAGGCAGGCTGCTTGCCTGGAAGGGTGGATTACTTAAGTCTGAAAAGAAGAACGCGATAGAAGCTTTCAGTTTCATGGAGTGAAAAAGCGAGAACGTCGATTAACTCTTGGCGAAAGCTGATCGAAAGAGAATCTAACCGAACATTCCAGGAGATTAAAAATATCATTTCCAATCTGATTTCCTTTCAAATATTCCATCGTTTAAAAAATTCCGCTGAACTAAAAATCAGGTAAAAGAAAAGATTTAAATTACCTATGGAGGAGTCATAATGCTCGCTGTGTCGTCCGTAAGGGGCGGTTTTGCGAAGCAGATCTTTCACCCGTCTCCTTGGGCTTCTAGCCTGCTGAAACATGCAATTTCTTGGTAACATCGGTATCGTTATGCTCGAGCGCGCATGAAATTTAAGGGAAACATTCGAATAGACGATTCCTAGGGGGAAAGGGTTCAATGGAGATTCAGTTCGTGATCTATAAGATAAAAGATGCACGTTGTAACAAGACAAAGAATCCTTGTTTCGCGGAGGATTTACCGAGAGGCTTGAAAACCGCTTCTATTTACAAAGACCTAACGACCTTTTTCTAGCGTGGCTTGAACAGATATTTCTTCTCGGGCCGTATTGCAACGAAGCGGATATTTTCATCCGCTTAATGCGCCTCCTACGTTCGAACGCGATTACACCCGCCGGATCGACGTACTATAAGAACGGTCTGATTGTTCCTCTTTCCAGGGGGTAGCTCTGTGATTTGGTTGAAAAAATTGGGTATTTTTCAGGAATATTTTCTCTTCTAAGATATTGATTAAAATTTCTACTATGGCAAGTAGAAAAAGTTTTCATGACTAAAAGAAGGAAAAGGGTGGAAGATGTGCATCGCTATACTCAAACATGCATAACTTTTCCAATTCTTCGAATTCCACAGGAATTCTTTTACCGTCTTATTATATACGCTTGTATCTATTTATCAGCGTGAAAGAAATTTCAATTTTCCGGCCCCTTCAATTGGAAAAAATAGAAGGAACCTTGGACCGATTCGTGATACAAATATTTGCGATCCCGGGCCCGGTAGCGAGGCGAGGGCAAAATTATTGATCATGTTTCCGCGGCGAACACGGACTTAAGGTTGGTTCACATTCGGCCTTTATTTCGACTGTTTGCCCAGGAATGCACGTCCACGTTGATGGCAACGAATGTTGAAAATTCTACCCTCGTTCCATCTGCTGCTTGATCTCGGCTCTGGATACTCGAGTGCTATCGAAGGCTAACCGAATTATTATACTTTTACTAGAATTCTGATCTAGAGGAAACTTCTACCCGTGGAATATTTAGTAGTTTTTCTATTTCAGATATGAGAAAAGTATTGCACGAAATTATTTTCATCGAAGGAAAGAATGAATCATCTTCGGCTGAAGGAAGCAATATTCGCTGGAGCTTTAAATTTCCCGATTCGAAAAGAATATTTAGTGCTCACTATATCTTTATACGATATGATTTCTATCGAATGTGAAAACGAGTCAGCGTTTCTGTTAAAGTAATTTTCACCATGGCGAACAGTGTCTTACTATTTCACTGGACGTTCATTTATCTCTGCTCGCGGCTAAGTCAAGTCTTATCGATACGACTCTGGCACACCCTCTATCATGGCGACGGGAAAATATTATTATTGTTCCATTAAATAGAGTTGCTCGCGTCAGAGTCGATGGGGATGCTAAGTGGGAACGTTTCGAAGATTCTGGGCAATCGGGAGCGTGTCTAAAAGGGAATCAGACTTTACCGTCCTCACTTACGAATCGTTATTTTTTAATTACGAAGAATATTGCACTGTATTCTCTTTTTCGATATCGTAAATACTCTTCTACATTTGCCTCGAGTGAATATCGAATAATTAGGTGCTCCAGATATCGATGTGCGTGTTAATTGAATTTAACAAAGTACTTGAACTTCGGTGATCCGTTGAATGTACATTCTGTTAAATAATTTAGTTTGTATAATGCATCAGGATCTGAATGACCCATTGAATTTTCAAATAAAGATACACGTAGAGAAGATCAAATTTTCTCGCCGAGAGTAAACATTTTCGAAGTTTATTCAACGGACTGTGATTAATCTCACACGGTATAACCTTGTTAGTTTGATCTCGAAAAATCATCATGATCTCTGAACTGTGAAAAATTAGGTCCGTAACTAACGTGTTTCCCTCGATCCTGTTCCATCAGCCCCGATGAATTTTATATTAAATACAAATGCAAATCTTCTCCGTCGACTTGATTTCCATTTCAAATCCGTTTAAAATTCCATTAAAATTCGATGGGAACACTCATTAGCTCTTAATTGCCGGGACGAGGGTTACGTTACTAGCATTGGTCGAATCGAAGAATCCTACGGATCGATGAAACGAAACAAATCCACCCCATTAAACATCTATCAGTAAACACCTCGCCTTTACAAATCCCACCCTTCCATGCTATTTAATCCCCTTCCCGAAAAAAGCAAATTAATCCACTCAGAAGCTCTATCAATCTACCAACTACGCTGTAGCAGAGATAATAAAATTTTAACAATAACTACGGGTTGCTATCTCGATGGATAAACTCTGTACGTACGTGCAGGGTGTTGAAAATGCAATGTACACGATTTGAAAAGTAAATTTGTATCTTCAGATCGATGGAGAATTATTTAGAGAATTAAATGAAATTTTGCTTAACTCTTTCACTGCTATCGGCACGTATAAGATTTGACGAAATTTATATAATTCACAAGTGGTTCATAGGTAAAGGGTTAAAATGCATACCATCGAAAATGAAATCTACGAAAAAAAAATTCTTACAAATGTGGGGTCGATGAGGCTCTGCGTCCTGATGACGTGAGCCTTCAGGGAGAGCAATTCTTCCGAGGTGCTGTTCCTCGCTGGTGCGATATCCAGATCATCCAAACACTCGTCTTCCGCCAAAGACACCAGACTGCTGTTATACCATTGTGCACTGCTTGCCCTATGTGGCCTCGGAGGCTCTTGCAGTCGGTTCAAGTCCTTGCTGAAGCTAAGGCTGCGTCTGATAGGCTGTAGGCTGCGATTTATCGCCGCCGGTAACTCCACGCTACTTTTTATCAGCAACCCGATTTTCTTGCGAATCGACGTCCTTTCGAATTTCCCGCTTGTCCTCGCCTCCCTGTCCGCCTCGTCCAACGACACGTCGAAATCAAAATTCAGAGGATCATCCCTTCGCTCTTCTGAAAGGAAAAAGAACTTTTTATGTCACACATTTGTTCTCATGAATTAACATCTTTATGCGCGTAAAGGGATAAAAACACGTTCTTTTCTACCCCGAGGTATTATACAAAGTTTCCACCTTAGGAAAAGTAAGATTACATTAAAACGAGGAGAGGCGTTTTTCACGTTACTTTAAGAGAAATATAATAATGTGTTTGATGAAAGTTCCCTGAAAGGATTCCCTTGTGTTTCGATAATAGAATTATTCGAAAGACTTCGAAAAAACCTGATTTGGCTACCTGCATCCACCTTCGATCCGTTGTTCTTCGCTGAATTCAGCTTCCTCACTGCCTTCTGGCTAGACTTCTTCGACTTCTTCAAAGCCCTCTTCTCGTCCTTTTTCAACGTTGTCATCTTGCCAATTTCTATGCTCTCGTACACACAAACGCTCATGTTCTATCACAGTTTCCTTTCTTTCTCTTTCTCTCTTTCTCTCGCGCGAGTCCTCTTGAAAAAAAAAAGAGAAAGAATTCCTCGGAGTCCCTCGTTAGCTGAACGAATTGGCCGAGATTCACCGTCCAAAAGGTTTCATTAGGCCGGTGAGATTGGCCGTGGTTCATCGAGGTTGAGCAGCCGCGATAAACGATCGTTTCACGTGTAACTCCAATCACGCGAAGCACTGCGGATGAACCGTCAATAAAACAACGAGGCCGCCAAAAACAAACACAGTCGTCCCTCGTCCCGCCGAACAATTAAGCGGCTTTCGTCGATCCCCGATTATTGTAAATTTCTCTAGCACGTCACTGTTCGCCCGTGAATGGGATCAATAGGATCGCATTATGACCGCGTGTGAGGATCGTGTAATTGTTACAGCCCGTGGGGAGATCGTTCCGTAGCAGCGTGGCGACGTTTATTGTCACGGCGTCGATCGAGGGCAAATCGTGGGACAATGTGCGAACTTCCGTGGCCAGTGTTGTTTCGAGACTAGCGCCTCTACTCGCACCTAACTTGCCGGGCTCGTTCACACTCTTGTTCGCTCTTGAATCGCAGCGAAACAACAAATGGAAAGTTACGGAAAGAAATGTAGGAATATTTTTCAACACGAATGAACATCACACGGAATTTTTACTAGGTTTATTTAAATATTTGTCACGAACTTTCTTCCGGAAAAATAATCTACATGCATTTAAACGGAAGTTGTTGATTGATAAACCAGTGTTAATAAATATCCGAAATAATGAATTTCTCCCGGAATTTCAGGTAAATTCGATAGAAATTTAAGTATAGAATCCAGGGTGATTTTCGAAATGTATGAATATTTGTGATTAATTTTTTTCTCTCTGAATATTTGCAAGGTGTGTCTGATTAATAAATACGTTCGTGAATGCAGCACGATGATCGATGGTAATTTAGCGAAGAATTTGGGAATGGATTAGTGCGGTTTGTGATCCTATTACGTATTACTGACTTTGTAGTAGTTTCGTTAAATGGCATTATTAATCCAGGGTTGCCGGGTATGGTAAATAATTATCAATCGAAACGATGGTTCAATTATTAATCTCGCGGCAATTACTGATTTTATAATCGGCTCAGCTAGTGTTTTATTGGAATTAATAAATTCCATTAACAAATCGTGTCGCATTAACTATCTCATTATTATCATTTATCGTTTTTTCCTTGAGCGATAACTTCGCTACTGATTAATGTACATGTATATATACGTATATAAAATATATTTTCTCTTTACACGTATACAGGGTGAGTCACGTAAGATAATCCACCTAATTATCTTCTCTAGCTATGGTAATGCAAGAAAATTTTTGTACGTAATGTAAATGGTTTCAAATGGTGAATAAGATGGAAGAAAAATTTTGTTCCTTTTTCTTCAATCATCTGTTCTTTTTACATGAATGTATATATTTTTTTCTACCGTGTGTTGCAGCAGACATTGGTGTGCATTTAAACATGCATAACGTGACCTTAAAATTACTTTGAACTCTGAAATTTTAAGTCAAGTGTGAAACTTCCTTTCATTCTTTCCCATTTCTTTCATCAAAAGCGTTCAAATTATGTGTAAAAATTTTCTCGTACCATTACAGCTAGAAATGATAATTAGGTTGCCTGCTTTACGTGGCTCGGCCTGTATACTATAACCATTCTGTTTGTTTTCTTGTTCACAATTTTGCTGTAACAAGCGCCCCACAGTCACGCGGCCATAATCATTGCAGCCAGAAGTGCACTTAACCTGTATCGGTGTATTTTTTTCTCTTATCGTGTTTCCTCTCTTATCGTTGCGACATGAATTAACTATATCGAACTTATCACGCGGAATCGCTTTCCATTTCCGAGAAACCAAAGAAATTCGTGCCTCGCCGTACCATCCACTTCTTCCCTAAAATCTTTCACTTCAAGCCCTTCTCCTTTTAATCGATCTCGCGAGTCGGATTAATAAGACGACCTTCTATAACATATCCTATACTACAGCTCGATTATTTGAATATCGAAACGAATGAAATGTTACCACGAACAACAAATTCCTGCCTTGTGCGCTGAAAGTTTCGCGAGAGTTTCTTTCTTTTTACCGGTGAACACCGTTCAAGCGGAACGCGAATTGCACTTACATCGGTGTTTCGTCATCGACAATTAACGCTATCGTAAATGTAACGGCGTATCACAGCATTATCGTGAAGTTACGAGGAACGTCACCAGCAATAGTATGTTTGCACCTCGATAACGCGACATAAAAATGCAACGGTTAACAATGCTTAAGCACGATGAACACGGGAGAAAAACGTGCAACTTGAAAGCACGATAGAATTCCAGTAAAATGAGTTTTCCTCGATTATTTCCAGTGACTGATGAAACATAGAGGAAAAAAAGGTAGTTTTTTTATTTAACTCTAGTGTGTTCTTCCTTTCGACTATACACTTAAGGACTTTGGGCCAAAAGAGACTCAAAGGACCTTATGTGTAACAATTTGTGTTATCAGCACGCCATATGAACCCAGACAATAAACTTTTAATACGATGTTAAGGGGACATAAACTTGATAACAGTGAAAGTTATTAAAAACGTAAGAAGGCGATGGGTCGAAAAAGACCCGAAGACCGCATTGCTATTAAAGGATACGAAAAATGACACGGTAGAATTTAGTAGAAATGTACGTAGAACTTATTGACATTTAACTGATAAGGCTAGCTCGGTGTTAAAAATAGACGATACGAGGTGATGAGTTAGTTGGTAAAATCGACGAAAGCCGCTGGTATCAGCGTGCCCGATTCTGGCCTCGAAAATTTGCACTAGTTAAATCGATGCACCACGTAACGCGTTGCCACGTTCGTGAATGCGCCGATAAGGTTGCTCAAGGTAGCGCGAAGTTCATTCGATTACGGTTGTGGAAAAAGGTCCCGGTAGAAACTATCCTTGGTAAACGGTTAAAATAACCGACAATAGCATTTCTGTCGTACCAACAGGAAATTAATCCGACAAGTTTCTCTCGTATTTCGTATACACGATTCACGACGCGTGAATTCAATTCGCAATTATCCACACGTGTGTGGTGTTAATACATCTAGGAGACTCTACTGCTCCAATTCTGTACGATCACCTTGATGATTATCGTATTCGTTAAGTAAAAATTCACCTGAGTGGGAATAATGCCTCTTACACGTGTACCGTGCCCGTGTTGACGGTAGAGAAAGAATCTTACACAATAGCGTGTATCATCGTGGTGGTGGAATAATGGAGATCTGTTGGTCCCAATATGGCACAAGCGGTTACACGGCTTCTCGTACACGAAACTGGATACAGGCCGGGAGGAAACCGAATACGTTTCGCGACTAACAAAATTGCAGCCGACACTTCGGCATGGAAGCGAAACAGGTTCGCACAGATTTCGTAGTACGATAATCGTAGCCGCGACTTGGTCAATGCCGGTGATTGTAAATCAAACGGAATTCGTGGTTTCGCTGCATTCCTTGTAATTCACGCCGATTAGCATTTTCCGTGCTTCGTTCGCGGGTTTATACACACTGTTCTCAAATCGAAGAAAGAAATCACACACACACACACACGCACGTAATGTACGTAGATACTTTGTGTCGGCAGTTCATTGACCCCTACCAATCGTACGCGATCTTGTACCGCGCTGATTAAAAAACAATTCTCACTAAATTGTCCACGCTTGATTATTCTCGTCTTTTCCCTCTTTTTATAACTGATTCACAAACATGTTTAAACGTTCATCGCTCGCGAGGATATACAAAGAGTGTATTATAATCCACCGATTCACTTCGATCTATATAGTAAACAAAGTAATTAAAAAAACAGATGCTCTAGACTGGTGGTAGCTCGTTGAATCTGCATGCTTATCGAACACGACACGTTACCAGCTTCGCGTTATCGCGGTTGATAAGACGATTCCGTTAGGTGAAATTCGCTGGCACCGCCGAAATTATCCCGATAAAAACTCTTGTTGGATCGCTCGCGGTGGGTGTACGGTAACGATTTTCGCGAGTTATTCCCGGAGAGGAGAGTCTCGATCTACGTAATAGGACGTCGAGGATCAAGATAACCGCGGCGTTTATCGGCCGCGAGCGAGGCACGCGGACGAGCTGGTCGGTGACTTTTACAGATCTCGCGGCGTGTAACGCGAGCGCGGAAATCGCGAGTGCTCGCGTAGCCAAGAAATTAAGAAGACAGGTGAGACGAGGTAAGCGTTATACTCGCGAGCCAGCTGGTGGGGGGGTAGCTGATGAAGATAGAAAGAGATGGACTATCGTTCGATGGAACAGTGGAGCCGATCGAGAAAGAAACCGCCGATGGACGGTGGAAAAACCGTGACCAGCGGTGCTCAGCTGAGAGTAGAATTTTGCTTAGAGCGGTGTTTACGTGACTTTGCGATTATCGAGCCATGTGAAATTCATGGAATACGATATTTCAATTTGTGCAATCTAGTTTTAGAATAAATTTGGAGTAAATTTATTTTTAGAATAAATTGTGAAACTTTTTAAGTTTACTCGATTCAACGAGTACTACATACATGTATATGCCCATAGAATCATAACTCCGATCGAACGAACGTTGAAACATTCATGTGAAAAAATAAACGGACTAAATGGAATGACGTTTTTCGTAGGAGGCGTCGTTCTTGAGGAAATCGATCCGTAAAGTTTGCACCCACGCTATATCCAACGCATCGATGCAACGGGGGAATAGAACGCGTTAATGTCCGCGAGGAACGTTCGCGGATATCTGAAATACGTTATAAAAAAGTTCCGCAACTAGCCTGGCTATAAAACGACCATGAAGCACGTGCTGTCGTTTTATTGATGCCGTTGGGGGGAGAACTCGCTGGCGTATTCGATATTCGGACGCCGTGAAATGACTTCTGTCAAACGTAACGAGTCACCGTTTTACCAGTGAAGCTTTTTACGATAACGAAACAGAAAGATTGATATTTTATAGGTCCAGTATATTGTATAAAAAATACCTATTGATATGAGAATTTCATTAAAACTCTCTTTTCGATCATCGAAACCATTGTCCTACGAAGCTACGATTTTTCTTCGACGAAAAAAAAAAAAAAAAAATAATCAACGACCGAATCTCTTTTACAGAGTAGAAGTTTCATCCAGCATTCGTATCTTTACGATCAATGCCTTTACGAGTATCGAAGATCCCGCGTTACACACGTTGTGCACTACCAGCGCATCATTGTTGAACGCAGTAAAGTTCACGACGTGGCACGTGTAAGGGGAACCAGCTGGTTCGCGAATATCGGAACGCATCCCCTGGCACACGTGCGAAAATGTCGATACGAATTGTCTATTTCTAGGTCGCGAAAGTAAGCAGATCAATAAACGGTGCTCGCCTAAGGGACACATTCTCAGGCTTGCCTACGATCTTTCGCCAAGCCATCTTCAAACGAGACACTCGCCAAGGTATGTACGTACTTACTTTACACGCCTCCTATTTCCCTACTTCCTGTACAGCGTTGCTTCGACAGGGAAAACTCGATTTTTGTAATAGTTCCATTCGACGCCAAATCTGGCAAGAGAATCGAGCTGCCTACTAGGCAAGTTTCATCGTTTCCTTGACATCCTTAGCCGGTTAAGGACTCGCTCATGTGCCCGCCAAAGACTAGAACCTCGTGAATCGCGCCGTTCCTCCGGTACGTTTCGCGGAGAATCGATAAAACGTTTAACCTAAATTTATTCTGTTTGCCGTTCAAGTTGATTTTGCAACGTTCACTTCTTCTTCACCAACCTTCGTTCCCTATCTTCCAAACAGATCCCACCAGTTGAATGATAATGCAACTAATGTTAGAAATGGTTCAGCTGATGGGATTCGAAAGATCTATGGACTTTGCCATTTGGCTTTTGGTAGAATTAAATTGGCATCGATAAAGAGAGGAGTTTTAAACGTACCCGGTGGTAGGTCGCATTGAAAGTGGAAAGGGCACAAATTGGCGGCATTGTGGCACGGCCTGTTTGAATGGCGGTGCTGCGAAACCAGGGAACCACCAGTGCAATTCAACCGGCGTCTTTATTAAATCAACAACCTACTTTAGAAATCCGTTGCATTTCACGGGACAGAATTAAATCCGGAGCGCGATATTCAGCGCGTCAGCGTGCGTGGGGGAACATTAATTGGCACGCCGTTGCTATCGCGTCGGAAGTATTCGGCAATTAAGGACGTAATTGGGTAAACAGTACGTATAGAATGAGCACTTACTACACACCGGGAAACAATGGTCATTGGGTGTCTGGCTTCCTTGAGGCTACGGTTCCTATGATGTGGACCAGCCGCTGCAGCGCATTGTTAAAGGATGAGGAAGGTTTCTGTGGTATTGTTGGCGCAGATCATCCGAGAAATCTGGTTAATAGAATATTCAATTTAATTTCTTGCTTATAATAGAAACTTTAGTAATCGAAGACTGTGATACTAAATATTATAATTAATATCGTATAAATAATATTAATATTAAATGGATGATATGGAAATATTTTGTACTACTAATTTTGCGAGTTAATAAATTTCTAATATAAAAGACACTAAATTTGAGAGATTTTATTACCAGTAATAGTCTTTTATTATGGTTATGTGACTTTCGTCCAGCAAATTGCTCGGAAAGCCCGTGAACCTGCGATGTTTTTGAAGACTGTAGCCAACCGCGTGGTAGAACGCCTGACACAGGGTGGTACAGTCATCCCCACCACTTAGATACAATAATCCTCCCCACTTTTCCACGGCAACACGATTTAACCCCAAATTAGGCTTTTGTCAGTTTAATTTGTTAAGTTTGGTAATTAGTTGATACAATTATGGAAGACAAAGAGACGAGATGAGGTTCCTCTTATACTTTATTTCGAAAGAAAAGTACCACCCTTAAAATATATGTATCTTCGAATAATATGGTTTTTTAATGAAAAAGTTTCTAATTATAAAACACTGTAATAAAAGTTTACAGTATCGCAAGGAAATATTCTTTATCATGTAATCATTAGATTTTTAGTAATTTTCAAGTAAAAAAAGTTGCCTTTTTTTTAGAAGAAATTACCGTAAATATCAATTTAAGCACACTTACCGCTCTTTTGCGCCGTCTTGAAATGAAACTCTCGTTGCTTCTTGTTATTTCCAGTTTCCAATTTGAAATTAGTGTACTGTAATAATCTTTACATTAATTAAACTCAGTCATATTTGCAAATAGTATCGAAACTTTTAAAATACTGCGATATCACGTTTGAATTGTTGGAACGCGGAGAAATGCAATGGCGGAACATTTTGGCGCAAAGTGCAAAGAGTGCAATGAAATCTCCTTTCTAAACAATGTTCAATAATCTTACATATGATGCCATTACGAGAATTCATGAGTTACAATATATAAAGTAAAAGATTAACATTTTATAATTGTCAAAATAATTCCGCGATTGAATAGTGTAATAAAAAACTATATAAAATTATAATTACCTAGTACGAAAGACCGTAAAGGATTGCAAAGAACTGCAGCGACCGTTCTTCCCTCCTTCTACTATCAGAGCCGATTTTCATGTAGCGACAAATCGAATAATGGCGCTGAGTTCGTTCCTTATAATGGAAGCGGGGCTTTAAGTAAGTTGTGACACCTCGCGGCCAACATTAACGGAGATGTAATATTTTCCGGTAAAGTAGTTTGGCAGATCTGTAAGACATTAACTGAGCAAAAAGTACGCAGAAAATGTAAAATCGCATTAGCTCAACGTGAATCGATCACGCTAATCTACGGCTTGGATCGCTGCTTCGAGCGCGATAAAACTTCCACGATTCGTGTCCGTAATCGTCGTGTACATTAGATATAGTCACATATATTGCAATAGGGCGCCCCGAAGTGTATTAAAACATTGATCGGTGCAGTGAAAGTGATAAAAAGTAACGAAATCCAAGCGTTTTTCCACAATGTAGTCGACAGATTTTACTCGGCAGTCGTTTAAGTTCCCATTGCTAACCAATGCTTGTGTTACACGCATACAAGGTTAAAGTACGTTGATTCGTGGTTATTGTTTTTCTCTGGGGCATTAGTAGATAAAAATGAGTGGAAATATGTTTGAGGGAAAGGATTACCCAACCCAGTGGGCACTAAATCCTTCCGCTTACCAAAATATGAGTAATGACCAAGGTAAATGGCGTAAGAAGTATTTCAGTATCCGGTATATATGTGATTCATTACTTGAGATTATTGTACAACATTTAATTGTCATGCAAAACTCTTGATCGCCATTCAGTCGACTGGGCAGCATTAGCTCAGCAATGGATCAAAATGAAAGAGACTGTAGTGCCACCGGCACCACCTCCGCCTACTATTAATCCTATATGTCCTGGGACTGATGGTAGCGGAGAAGCTCCCATGGATATGGATACAAAAGAAGACGATGTACCACCAGCACCACCTGCACCAACAATCAGTGGATCAGGTAACACAGAAAGATTAATCTAATGGAGTTCATTATGCAATTCTATGTATCTGTATATATTACAGTTGCAGGTAATGCAGTAAAAGTGATTGCAGTTGCATGATTGTATTCTGAGAAATTAAGAATAAAGCTTAATTATCTTTTAATTTTTTCCATTTATTATTTTCTTATTAATTTTTATCTATTACAGCCATTGTATTTATTATAAAAAAATTTTTTATAATCTTGTGTGTATTCTTTTATTTTATTTGAGACTATGAAATAAATGCTTAATTTATGAGTGATAGTATAAATCATATTTGCAATATTCCTTCATAATATATATTGTTTAATACCAGCTGAAGCTTGGAATCAGTGGAATCAATGGGGCCATTGGAATACCTCAGGTTCTGGTGCAGGTACTTGGGAATGGACTGGTGTACCTCCCCCTGGGGTTTCTATAGGTTCTGATGGGAAACCTATGGGAATTCCTACAGTACCAGTTATTCCACCTGCTCCAACCATATCTACAACATCAGAATTTAGTGTACCACCTCCAGCAGCACCATCGTTGTATTCTTATAATTCAGTACCTCCAACACAACCTTATAGTCAGGTTAAAATTGTAATTTTAATATAATATAGAACTCGTACACCCCTACACTTCCTATTTTACTTAGGTTTAGCAAAAGAGCAGAACAGTGTATAGAACTATGTCATTGTTTTTCTAAAACTTGAAGTGTAAAGATATATTCTAGTTCAATTATATTTTAAATTTATTTTACTTCTATTTATTTTTTTCTAAGAGACAAGCATTATATCATAAAGAAGCTTATGTAATTGTTGATATTAGATATTACTGAAAAGGAATGTGGAACAGACCAGAAATTACAGATAATGAGTGTTTCATATTTAGGTGACTAGTTATTGGTCTGGAGAACCACCTACTACAATACCTCCTCAGCCACCTCCTTTCATGAAGGGGGTCAGACATGCAAATAGAACGCCACATATAAGGCCCATGGACACTGTAAGGTGTCGAGAGGATAGGGAAAAGACACCTGAGGAGGATACTACAACAACCATAGGTAAGTGCAATAAAGATAGTTCTTGGAATGTGTATGACTGAATGTATTAATTATTTGTACATGTAAAATGTATATTGTAACCTAACAAAAGTACGACCTGTTATTCATTATAAGGATATGAACACGACACTTTAGTTAATCGCATTAACAAATGTTCTCATGTGTTCTTCGTAATAATATTCACGACGAAATTCTGTGGCCCCGTGGTAAAATGCTCATACGATGAGGATATTTTGTACTTTAGACGCGGCAAAGCGTAGACAATTGCCAGCATGGATTAGGGAGGGTTTAGAAAAAATGGAAAAAGAAAAACAGAAAGCTGTTGAGAGGGAAAGGCAGGAGATACTGAGGAAACAGGAATTAGAGGCCCGAAAGCAAGCCGAGGACGAGGCTCGGGCAGTACTGAATCCTTGTAAAAGCAAATTTGTAGGTGTCTGAATGCATTCCATAATTGCGTACTTCGCAAATAATGTCACGAAATAACCTCTGTAAAACATCGTTGTGTAATTCATCATTGCCCTTTTGGAATGCAGGATTCTGATTCCGAGAAGGAAACAGAACAAGATGTTGACGAGGGAATACGTAGTCAACAGGTGACTGAGAAAAATTTCGAACGTACTCCAGACATTCTTCTTCGTCCGCGGAAGTCACGATTTCGCGACGCAGGCTCGCCTGACGCTCATACGCATACAGACAGAAGCCCAACTACTTCTAACACTGCTATAGCCGCGCCAAAGCGATCTAGAGAGGAGATACTGCAGGATGTGGTGAATATTATTTTGATGAAAGTGTGGATTAATTATATTTGATTAGTTGAATTACAGATTCTGTATCGACAGATGTTAAAGGTACGGAGATCGTTGACGGAAATTCTTCTGGAGGTAACGAACGAAGAAATCGGTTCTATATGCAGAGAGGTTTGGAGCCGCGCACGTGCCAAAGGTACCCCAGATACACACGATACAACTAACAAATTGATATTTCATATACTTTCGCTCACCAGTGCACAGAATCTGATTCACATGAGTCTCGTGCAGTGTTGCGGTGAATTTTATTTGCCCATTTGTGTAATATATAAGCTTTTAAACATTAAACAGAGATTATTCAATTCATAGAGTTAATTATTCGATGATTTCAGGATATCCTACTTTATTTTTCAGGACTTTGTATACACGTATACCATAAGTGGATACTCTGTCTCTCTCTCTCTCTGTCTTTCTCTTTCTCTCTGTGTCTATCTTTTTGTTTTTTTTTTTTTTTACTTTAAAAAATACACCACCCAATTCTTGTAAACGAATTTTCGGTTCGATTAGTGTTTTTTATATCGAATCGTTTCTCGTTGATTTTCTGGAAATCATAAATCTGTACTGATTCGATGGATAAATCGTTCGTGAGGAAAAGAAGCAAGAATGGTAAAAATTTGTACGATAAGATTCGATGTAATTAGTATGTACGAGAGAAAACAAAACAAAAAAAAAAAATATGTAAAAGGGCAAATATTATTTTTTCTAATTGGAAGACGAAGTTTTCGAAAAAGAACAAAAAGGAACGATCGTAAACATCCTTGTTTTTAAGGATGTGAAACGAAGATTAATTTTCATTTCCTACTTCCAGATTCTGTTTGCCTTTTATTTTTATCATTTTGCTATATATCAGATAGCGTAACTTTTCGTATACGATTACTCTATCCGTATCTGTTTTCACTGATTATAGTATATATATAGAGCTCCACCAAACGGCTGTACATAACTGATCGTTGATATATCCCCCTGTACTAACGTTTAAAGCAGTTTCAGTTCTTTCGTTTATTATTTTAAACGGATATACATGTGTATATACAATATATACTATTAAAGATTTCTTAAGGTATATGAGGATTGAAGGCAGGATCGGCTCTCCTATGTGAATATCGGTGATCAGTACCATTTAATTTTGGGGGGTATCCTGATGATAGCAGTTAGCCATTGGTACTAAATGCGTGTGTATTGTAAGTCCCTGCAGGAGAGACCCCCGTCGCATCCCTCAACAACATGGCCCCTCTTGCTCAGATCACTCGTAAACTTGGTAAGTTTCTAACGCCTTTATAATCTTCAACGCACGGTCGTCCTAGGAACCGGTCGTGTACATGCAGTCACTTGTAAAAATGCGTCCGTGCATTGTACCGCTGCCTGTCTGTCTGTCTGTCTCTCTCTCTCTCTCCTCTCTCTCTCTCTCTCTCTCTCTCTCTCTCTCTCTCTCTCTCTGTAGCAATGCTCGCTTAAAAAAGTTCTCGTAAAAAACAAAGATGTCTTACAGGACATTTTTGCAATCATAGCGGCGGCATATTTAGTGGTCGAGCGTATGTCTTTACTTTGACGAAAATGAAACACAGCGTAAGAGATGGAATTAGGATAATCAACTGTTCGTTTTCTATAGGTCTGGGCATCTATGGCGACAGCAACAGCGAGTCTGAGGAGGAGCAGAACGACCACGTCCAGGCTCAAAACAATGACAGCGATGAGGAGCTCATTGTATGTGTTCTCATTATATATTGATCTTTTTATTTTTTAATGAATAAGTTCTGAGAGATGAAAAAAACTGTTGATTTTATATTATAGGAAACCTTAAAACGGCGGCAGCAAGCGTTCAAAAAGACGGAAGAGGAAATCGAGGCGCGTCTAGCAGAGGAGGATGAGAGGGAAGAGCAACGTTACGAGGAGCAGTACAATAAGCAACAGGAAAATCATACTGGTAATACAAGCTGCAAGGACTCAGGTATGTTTCGAAATATAATAAAATTATATCGTCAATGAATCATTAAGCGTAACTCCTGAACATCACTACTTTAGTTGATGAAAAAGAAACGGTAAATAATCAAAGAGAAGCGTCTGAAACTTTATCGAGCGGCGGACAAAGTCCACAGCAACAAATCGTGCCGCCTGATATGGCAAAGACCAATACTCCATCAGGGTCGGCCGATTCTGAATCTAGCAGTTCCGAGTCGACGAGCTCTGACTCGAGTCGTAACTCGTTGAAGAAGAAACGATCGAACAAAGTTCGTGAGCGTGATTATCGAAAGAGGAAGTCAAAAAGTAGAAGTAAATCGAGAGGCAGAAAAACAAGGTCCCGTTCTTCCGAGCGAGGCCACAAACGGAAGTCCAGGTCTAGATCGATAAAATCGTCACGTAAAGAGTATCGTTCAAGGTCTTCGAGCAATTATAGGTCCAGTAAGAAGCACAGATCGAGATCGAGAAATCGTAAACGGCGTAGATCCCGCTCGAGGAGCTGTCGTCGATCTAGATCCAGCTCGATAGCGAGGAAATGGTCGCGATCACGTTCCAGGGGAAAGAGGAAGTCACGTTCCCATTCGAGAGGTAGAAGAAGAAGTCGGTCCTATTCAACCAGACGCAGCAAATCTCGCGGCAGGGATAAACGAAGAACACGGTCCCGATCCAGGGGTAGAGACAGGACTCGATCACGTTCGAAGGAACGTAAACGTTCGGAGTCTTACGTTTCCAGGAGCAAGAGGAGGACTCGATCTAGATCTAGAGATCATAGAAAATCACGATCGAGATCAAGGCAGTCGAATCATCGGGACGGTAAGAAATCGTCGTCGCATCGGTACAGGAATTAAAACACCTGACCAATTCTTCTCTAGCCAAGGTTGTATATACATATTCATAATTAAGTCACACACTTTTTTCGAGATATTCGTACGGAACGACGAGCCAACAAAAAAGAATAAAAAAAAAAAAGAAAAAAATAAACGAAAAAAAAACAAGATATACCTTTTGTTCTATACATAGTTAATAATACGGAACAGTATAAACGGAGGCGAAATGGTTTTCTCTATTGTGATTGTCCAATTTGAAAAAATTTTCCACCGCGAGCGCGCGTCAGCGATGTTCAGATTATCGATTAGGTCACTTCTTTCGAATTTTCATTAGGCTCGTTCGATGAATATATTATCGTTAATTGTATAGTGTCCAGAACAGAGTTCGTAATTAATTTCTAACTAAGTCGGATTTTTTCAATCAAGCGTTATTTCTGCGTATGAAAAGAATCCTTTTTTCTTCCGTTCAGTCTATTCCTATATACAATATACCGATTGAATTTTCTTTGGAAAATCATTAGAAATAATGTGCGTCAGCGAACACTTTTCGTTCATGATTCCGATGATTATTTTATAACGATGTAATTCGTCTTCTTGTACGAACGATTATTAGCATATATTTCGAACGACCGCGCAGTATATAATTACATAAACTAATCAGGTGCAAAGTGAATTTTAAACATTTAATTCAAGAAAGTTAGCCACTTAGGGATCGCGATCGTTTATTTTTCGTTGCTCTCTTAGAATTGCGAGTATCTTGGTCTCTGAAATCTCTTTTTATGTACCGAGTGATATTAGTCAGGTCGAATTAGTTAAAGAATAAACTATTACAGCTCTAAAAAGAAACACATCGCGACGCATCATTAACACACTCACACATACACACAGATTTATCTGTTGGTTCAGTTACATGTATTGAGATACGTTCGAAATACGTTAAAACCGATGATTTCAATGTATTGTAAGTACGGGCCTTACATACATACCGCTATGATAAGTGTAACGAGTCATTTTTAATTGAAATAAATGAAAAAAAAAAGAAACATACCTAAACAATGTGATGGAGTGAAACGTCTTCACCCAAATAGCAGAGTTTTTATTCTTCTTACTCTTTATTTCTTTTTTTTACTTTTCTTTCGTGTAGATAATAGACGATAGAAAAGATGGAGCATCCGTTCTATTGCATTGTTATAATTTATTTCATATAAACATTTGATACAGTTTTAAAATTTCATTTCGTAGAGCTTAGCCTTTAGTAGTTTTAATGTTAATAAGTAATTAGATTCTATAGAATATATTGGAGATAAGTGGATGGAGTGATCGAGGAGAGTCAAAGTTTGGTTTGGCATGATTATCGTGTTTCACTTTCGTAGTTTTTTTTTTTTTTTTTGTCGGATAAATATAAAAGAACATCTGCAGAACAGTATGCAACATGTATTTCTCAGCCAGAGCACGATGTATTGAGAAAAGTATTTATTAAAGGGAAAAAGAAGAACTTACAAATTTTTTCCAAGCCCAGGAGAATAGTCGAGATTAAATTTACAAGGTATCTGTAAAGTTTGTAAATTTTGTCTCTTTAATTTTTGAGCAATGTTTGTCGTCGAGTCGAAGTGTCTTTGTAAATTTTAGAAATCGATATGTAACCTTCTTCCTTTAGTTAGATTTGCTTTGAAAGGAGAATTAATTATTTCACTTCATATGTATCTTACATTTATTCAATTATTCTTGATATGTACGTAACAGTATCTTCTTAGTTTATTATTTCTTTTCTTTTACATCATAAGAAATCAACAAAGATTGGTCTCACTGGTCTGATAAGTCCTTTCGATCGAAAACAGGCACTCCGTGATATTCGTTGATTTTAGTGTTCGATCTAAAAAAAAATAAAAGAAAAAAAAAGGACAGGGAACACACTCGATGAAATAGAATTTTTTCAATTGATATGATCAACAACTCGATTAGGGCCACGATTGAATTGCATGTTGTCTGCAGATACCGGTTACTATAAAATAAGGTACGTATTTTGATCTATGTGGATAGCTATGGGGGAGAGAATCGTCTATATCGACTAAATCTTATCTATGCTCGTTAGAAGATACCTTACTTTAAATATACAGTAAATATACATGTACGCTTCAAACTGTCAGAATATTCTCACCGCTGTGGTCGAACGGGAAGGGGTGGCCAGGCGTCAACCCTTAAATCGACATTGAATTTTAAATATTGAGAAATATCAATTTCTATCTGTAATTCCTAAAGAAAAAAGAAATGTTTAAATAAAAAGACATTTTTTATTATTATCGTGAAAAGTGGATTGAAAATAATAATTTGCTTCGACTTGAGGGTTAACGAACGATTTCAGGATTGTAAACGCGGGCTTATGTATAGATACATGTGTACAGTGGAGAGGTAATTCGTTTACCAAGCAAGATTGTCGGCAGGGGCTGGTTTCCGCTGGTGAGAACATTGTTACAATTCAAGCATCGTGGATATATCATTAATTCGCTTTATGTATGGACTAGACTCAATTACTTATAATAGTAGATCTTCATACGATATTGCAAAGAAACGTAGTTTCAAGCTATTACAGTCGAAGATGTGAATTTACAGTATGGTTCTCCTTGAACCTCGTTACTGACGTCCTCATTCTTGCATTTCAATTGATAAAACCACCAGAAAAATCATAGCAATTTATATGTATACTCGATTATTGTCACTATTGCAGTGTTAATTCTTGAACTTTTTAATGCATTCGAAAATTCGTATTATTATTTTTCTATTGCTTCCAATAATACCAAAGTTATGTATGGTAGAACGTCATTAACGAGTCCTCGAGTGTCTCGAAGTTTGTTCTGTGTCGCAAAGCCGATCACTGGATGTTTTACAAAGAATCATAGCAAAATAGTTTCGTATATTGTATAACACTACAACGACAATGAAGTAGTTAGGTAAAGTTACAGAATAATTTATAGTTGAAAGTTTGAAAAAGGACGCGTTTTGTGGATCCGAAGGAGAAAAGAGGATTTCGTCGGTAGCCTTTAGAAATTTCATTAACGCTATCCGTAAGAATTTTTTTTAAAACGATTTCTACCAGCAAATGATACTATGTATATATATATATCTTTATGTATACATATATATCTCTTTGTATATAAATCAAGATTGCGACTGGAAGGGAAGAACGAACACTCGTAATTTCCTTCCACCATTTTCCTTTTCTTCTGATATGTATACGTAAAATAAAATCACGTTTTTAACCTTTTTTTTATTTTTTTTACCTATCCGTTTTATCTCTGCCTGGAGATTTGAAGCATTAAAAAAATTACTCTGGTCTCTCATGTTCGAAACACGGACAGTTCGAGACTTCCGCCATTTTTCCCTTCTTTCTCTTCTTCGCGCAGTCTTCTCGTTTTCCCGAGAACGGACGTTTGCGTTTTCTTTACCGCGAGAGAAAATGATAGTATACTTTCTAAAAATTATGGAAGGCTCGTCCAGCTTCGCTGGATTAACGCGCGTGTGTACATAAATAGCCGTATAAATTAATTAAGTACAAAAATTACAAACTTATTAACAAAACATTGGCAAGACTGAGGTTCCAGCCGAATCGAGAGTTTTCCTTCTCTCTTGTTTTTCTTTTTTTCTTTTTCACTCGTCTTGGCCCGTTCAACGGAATACGCAACTGTACCTTGACATTCTTTTTATACTTTTCTTTTTCTTAATAAGGAAAACGCAAAAAGTGTGATCCAGGAATCGAATTATCTTTTTTATAATTTTCAAATGAAATGAAATGTTTTTGAGTACATACTTTGGTCCGTCTTATATAGCTGAAGGTTTCGAATGTGAAATGAAACGTTTACTCCAAGGCATATACATACATATATAATATATAATTATAATTCGATTCCTCGAAGTGCGGTGAATATTCCTCGATTTCTTCAATTTTCTCCTTTTTTAGAATACCGCACTTTTAATTACCTAACACATATCACAGAATCATGTGTACTCCATTAAAGAATGATTACACGCACGAACGTAATGACGCGATTTAATCCTTCGCGCCCTGCAACTAATTGGACAGCGAAGGATTAACAAAGAAAAGAAGAAAGCAACGATAGTACGTACAACACGATCACACAATATAACGCAGGCCTAAATTAAATTAAATACTCCCAGTGTGTGTGTGTGTATGTATCTATGTGTGTGTGTTGCGTTTTTCGTAGCAAGGATCGAGGCGATTCGTTTTGTGCTCCTCGATGTTGAATTCGAAGAATGAAGAATACAAGTGTATCCCCTTAATTATTCTTACAATTGAAAAGAAATTTGTCATGGAAGGCAGAAATCTTCTGTGTGTATTGTATCTTTAATAATTACATGGAGAATAGAAGATACTCGTGGAAAAAGAAAATAACATTAAAATTAAAGGGATACACTAGCCACACTCCAATCGATAATATTGATATGTTAATTACAAACGTAGTACGTTTAAATTACACAATCTTTCGGCTCAAAGAAAATTTTCTATTCGTTCCTCATTCACGCGAATTTTGAACGACGAAAGTTTCGATCCTCTCTATTCGATTTCGTGTCGAAAATAACATACACGAGGTTTTGCAGAGGATCCACGTAATCGTAATCATTTCAAATAGGATACGCGAAACACTGTGCAGGAACTGCTGGGGAGAACTCTCTCTTTCTCTCGTGCAAAACTGAACAATACGTACGTACGTACGAACGAACGAACGAACGAACGTGAATCTGGCGCACATAACACGCAGGTCGTAGGCAACGTCGGACATTAAACTGTAATGAGTAGGTATGTTATGTTACAACGCTTAGACGGGAGAACACTCTTAACAGCTTTAACAGGTATTATCTGTATGGTACAGTCACGCGTTCTGTGATCCGTCTCGATGAAACTATCTCCTGGGAGATACCTGCATACAAATCGAAAGAAAATGGTATTTTTAGACACTTAAAATTGAACCAATATTATATTGTCTTTTATAATTATTGCATTCGAGTATTGTGAAATGTAATCATTTTGTGCAAGTTATTTATAAAAGTGTATTCGTAAAGTGTAATTTTAGTATTTATTAATTTAAGTTTGATTATTATTGCGACGTTTAATTTACCTTGATCACTAAAACGGAGTGACGCTGAGGTGACGAAGAGACTATTGGTTGAGCAGGGTGTTAGTCACCTCAGAGATGGACAGCAAAGGACTCCCGGCGTCCGGTTTGGAATCTGTGGGACAGTTGGGCCCATTCCCGCCGCTGATGATCCCACCGCGTGCTGATGCTGAGGGTGGTGGTGCGGAGGGTGGTACAAGACGTTGCTGTTGTTGGTGTTGTTGTCCTGCCCGATGCCCATGCCGACTCCCGTCCCCGTTCCCACAGCTGACGGGGGCGTGCTGCAACCGAAAGTGCGTTTCCCTGTTATTCGCAACCCCTTCTTTTTTCAGCTCTTTCATTCATCTTTGTCCTCACTATTCGTCGTTTTTAGTCTATTATTATTTATAATTCATTTTCCGTTCTTTTTTTTTTTTTTTTTAATATTCTATGTATGTTTTTAATTCCAACGTGCAGTGAGATAAATGAAATCATACGAAAAATAATTGTTGTCAGATTGTCGAACGAGATAATCGAGCTCGATGAATACGTGGACATGCAGAGTATGATTAAATTTATTTGTGGTACGCTTGAGAGAAGTTCGTGTGCATTCCTTGTAACGTGCATGCCCAACAGGTATCGCATTTTACTCTTCGCGTAGTAAATTAATTAGTAATATTCCTAATGTATAAATCGAATTTCTCATTTAATCCCTCCTGGACGAAATAAAGTAAAAGAAAAATAATAAAATATTCTAAACTGGCTAGAAACTTTTACCACCCCTTTTAAATAAACTCGAAAACTCTCCACGCGTCCTGGAGGGATCAATCAATTACTTAAGGGGGCAGCTCGGTTCCTCGGGGTCGTGAAATTAAATCTTTCTATCGGTCGATAGTTTCAAGCGTGTGAAACAAGGAATTGGAAGAATTTCACAGAATATCAAGAATTAAGAGAGCTATAAATATTTAAAGAGCGCCGCGTAGCGTAACTAACTATTTGTAATACTCCTACGAATCTGAAATTTTACAGGGAATGTTTGAATCTGGTTCCTTCTCTTCTAAACGCTGCCATTTTGTTAATCACGAGCATTCTTCAACTTCTAAAGATACGTTATTTTACTCACTATAGTTTCCCATGAAAATAAAATTCCGCGGAAAAGTGGCCAATTCTCGCTACAGAGCTACCCCCTTGATAGAAAATTCAAAGAGACTGCTTTCCTCGCGGAGAAGAATTACTTGAAAATCTGTGAGGCAGCAGTGACACTCACTGGGGCGCGTGCCTTGGTGGTGCGGGGTGGTGATGGTGGTAGGGATAGTACTGGTAGTGGTGGTGGTGTTGCACTCCTTGCCATACCTCGGAGCCCGCTTCCCCGTGGCCATGGCCAGGATGAGAGTGCGTGTATCCGATAGTGCTGGCCGCCGCGGCCGCAGCCGCAGCCGCAGCTGCTGCTGCAGCCTGATACTGTGACGTGGTCACCGGGTACTGCTGATGCTGTTGCTGCTGTGGTTGTGGCTGTTGCTGCTGCTGCTGTTGATGATGTTGATGCTGTTGCTGAGGCTGTTTGGTCCTTGGTGAACTTGGTGCTGTGCTCTGTTGCTCACTGGGGGATGTCTGCCTCCATTTACACTCTCCATTCATGGAGTTCATCTCTGCCAGGGATTTAAGTGGATCTCCAGCGGTAGCATTGGTAGAATGAGTGGAGGAATGAGTGGAATGCGGCGTGGGTGGACTGTAACTGCCATTATTTCGCGGAGGAGTGCGCGCAGGTGGTGCTCCCCACATCAGAACCGTCTGTCTAGGTGCTTCGTTGCCATAAACTTCTGGCTTCACGTCCTCTATCTTCGGTGTGAGCACACCATTCGTTGGTCCAGTTACTGGTGAACTGCCAGCTGAATTACTGGACGAAGCTCCACCTTCCAGGGAGTGTCTACTGCCTGCACGGACGATGTTGATGTCTGTCGCGGCTGTGTGCATGGTGGAGGCACTGGCAACGGGACTGGCTGCATAAGGGGAGCCACTGACGCTGCTAGGATGTCTGGTCTCTACATAGCTGTACTTAGGAGACTCGCCAAGCTGCTGGCAATAGAGTTTCTCTTCGGCTTTGCTGGTTAGCTGATGCGTTTCGTAGGTGGGCAAGGAGACGTCGATGAAACCGTTGTACGCGGTGCTCGTGTGGTACTCGGGGTAATAGGAGCCTAGAGGCCTGTATTGGAATAGGTTCTCCGTCGCTGCTGTGAGGTACCTGGAAAATGGAGACATTTTGCTTAGTTACTTGATCTTATAGGCCAGTGTCACTTGAAATAAACGTAGGTGCTTGCAGGGTCTGCTGGTTTAACGCTTATCTGAGATCCAAGAGTGATTATAGTCATAAATCTTGAGATAGCTCTTCAAAAAGCAGTGTTACTCTAATCCTGATCTCATCTAAGCTTTCCCGATTCAAAGATAATCACTTACCTGTTATCCAACGCAGTAGCAGGGTACAAAGTCTGATGATAATTGCCTGTGTGGCCAATATACGTGGTCAACGAAGGGTCCGTGCTGGCTGCAACCGCTGTGGGCGCGTATGCAGTAGGATACATCGTGTTCAGGTTGCTATACGCCGCAGCAACCGCAGCTGCAGCACTGGTATCAGCCGCGAGGTAATCCACAGAGGCGACAGTGGGTGTGACGGGCGGAGAAACTGAGGATTGCGCGGTCAATTTGGTACGTTTGTTTCGACAGGTAGACAGGAAGTCCCTCAGTTGAGTCTTGTACCGCCTGTTCACTCTCTGGGACGTCGGCTGGCTAGGCAGCGTCGGCGTCATAACGGAACCAGTTAGGCTATCGCTGTCTGAGAAGTAGCTGTTGGTTAGACCGGCATCCAAGTAGCTCACTTTGAAGTCCATAGTCCTTTTGCCCAGTAGATCCCTGCCTTCCTCTTCCCTGCAAGTTTCAGAACAGTGTTTCTTTTGTTAATAGAACTGGAAGTATCGTTATTTTTACGAATAGATTGTATACAGAGTTAAGATAGTTACATAAGAGGTCGATGTGTGCTGATGACAAAGTCTGGTTTGGAGTTCTTGTAGACCAGTCTGGAGCTGGTCTGCAGCCACTGCCAGCCACCATCTTTCTTCTGGAATCTGTACGCTATCATCCCCGAGGCTCCAGTTTTCAACACTGAAACACATGATTAAAATGATATTAAATGTTACCTTGTACTGTTAACCCTATTAAGTATTAGTAAGAACTGGAAGGTATCGCTTACATTCTTGATGAGCACTCGCCACATAGGACAAATCGTCGTAATGGACTAGATCGTAGCCGCCAAGATTCGCCAATTCGGCATCTGAGTATCCAAGCAACATCTTTCCCCTTTGGTCCATGGAAACGAGCGCTAGGTCTAGCTTGTGCTTGCTTTTGAACATCACATCCTTCTGAGGCACTTCCAGGAGGGATGGTGGCCCAAATGGTGTACACAGGGCGAACAAAGCCAAAGGAGGCTCCTCTGTCTTTCTGTTTTGACCATGGAGTATTTTCACTCGTCCCCTTATATCCAAACGCTGCAAAAATATTCATTCGATTCGGGAAAAAATTTTCTGCAAGTTCAAAATACAGCAGTTTAAAACAAAGAGTGGGCAAAACGGAGTCCTTTGGCGAGCCGCCACACAGCAAAACACTAATTATCTCATGGCAAACATACAGGCGGGACAAATAGTGTCCAGAGAGAAGTGTAAAGGACAAGAGGGAACAGAAGACCGCGAGTTGGTGCAAAAAAGCCGCCACTCTGACGTTTATGAAAATGAAACTGTAATCGTAAAAGTTTTACGACGAGAAGAACACTGGTTTTCTGTTGCTGGAATGGACCTACTTCGTTTTTACTCACATTCGTATGATATTATTCTAGCGACACCTAACTCACATGTCCTATTCAACGTAATTTCTATTTTAAAAGAAGTTACTGAATATGGAAACATATGTAATCACCCTCATTCTTTTCCTTCATCTGAAGGCATTTTACTCAAAAAAAAAAAAAAAAGTTCCAACGAAAGGGTAGAACTTTCCAGAAAATTGGAACGTACACAGCAACGAGAACGTAACTTCCACTTTAGAAAAAAGGTAGAAGCAATTCCAACAACTAGATGCTACAGAAAAGCAGGCGGCAATTACTGGTAACTAGCTGGCTCTACCTTCCCCACAATTAAGTCTATTATCGGGAGCTGCAGGGTTAAACGTGGCTCTAGCTTGCAATTATGAAAATTTGATGCCGTTGAAATCGGATCGATAGCTTTAGCGACATTCTATCGAGCGATTTCTTCTTTTTGAAGGAACGGTGGAGTGAAAATGGGGACGATTTTCGCGGGATACTCTTCCCTCCACATGGGTCAACGGATCATCCTCGTTCGCGTGACCGTGTTTGCGAAGGTTTCGATGAATGAACCGGTGTTACGTTGCGCACTCCTGAAACGGAACGTGAAACGGTGACCAGGCATGCGAGATACGCACGCTGGGAGGCTCAATATCGATTGAACTCATGGCGAAGCGAAAGACACACCTTGTTGCAAAAAATGTTTGAAATAAAAAGATACTTTCCAATTTGAATATCGTCTCTATGAATTCTAATTTCTCCTTGAAGTCATCTCCAAATGACCGTGAAAATACCTTGAAATACCCATGCAACTCTATTTGTTTTCTTCGTAAATTTTAAGTTTATAACAATTGAAATTCTCTATTTCTGAAACACCTCGTATGTACACATACAATATACATTAACTGCGAAACATAATTGTAGCACCACTACTTTTTCCAAGAGTTTCTGTGTTTTAAGTAATGATTTAGTATTGTTAAAACAATATTACGTGAAAGAGGATAATAAGAAATGATATATAATGAGAAAAGTGCGAAAATAACATTTACTGAAAACTACATATAATAATAAAAGAACTACTTAACTGGTGCGCATCTATAGATACTATAGATCTATAGTGCTATAGTACTAATAACAATATCAAATTATAATTAAGTGATTAAAATACCATGAAATGCATTAAGCATGACGGTGGTGCTATAGTTTTGCACCAATTCTAAACTGTTTTCCGATTTCATCTAGATATACATGCACACAGTGTGCAGCAGATAAAGTGTTACGAGCTGTTTTCTCCAAAGCCATTGCAGATATCAACTTGAAATTTTCAGGTGTTATTTTAAAAAATGGAATGTTATATTAATTTTTTTATATTCGGAAATATGTTATCAAACCTAACAACTTTTATCTAAAGCATTCTTTTTTCTATTCTGCATAGTTAAGGAGTTAGAACGGAAAATACGTTATGCAAGGAAATGTTAGCCCCTCCATTTAACACCTGAAAATTTCAAGTTGACATCTGCAATGACTTTGGGGAAAACAGCTTGCAACACTTTACCTGCTCCACCCTGTATATACAGACAAATTCAATGCTTTTCATCTGAAGTTCATGATATACAATGCTCTTTTAAGTGATACAATGGACTTTGTCTATTCGAAAGTTCAAAAGTCTTGAAAATGTCAATGGCGCTGTAGTTATACTATATTCCACAGTTTATGCACAACGTCAGACAAGTGGTTAGTTTAGCGCGCTGGAAGATACAAGCGGAAAGAAAAGGAATTGAGAGAGAAAGAGAAAGGAAGGAAGAGAAGCCCAAGTTCCGTTTCTTTCACGACAGTGAAACTATTAATTACTATTTTTACCCTATAGTACTCGTATTATAATTATTTATCGCGAACGTCCATCGGATGCATTTTTATAAATTTTCATTTCCGGTTGCGACATCTCAATGGCTTCTCAGTATGTGAAATTTCGCATGAAAATTGACGTTCGTTGGAATAATAATATTCTACAGACTCTTGCAACAGAGGTATTCGTATTCAGAGAAATCCACACTCACCAAGAAGCCGGAAGTGTTGTCCAGAAGACACCGGAAGCGCACGGTAAAACTGCGTTCCAGAAGATGACTGTGCTGAGGTGAGAGAGCGTCATGCAGAGGGATGCTTGCACTCTCGGCGGGCAGGAAAGAGTTCCACATCAATTGCCTTTGAAGTTCCTCTCTGTCTTCGCTGTGGACCAGCTCGTAGACGCTTTGGTGGACGATGTCGGACTGAAGCGGACGGAGAAATTATTGATTAACGGAAAAGGAAAGAATTTGCGATTAAGGGGAGGAGAATCGTACATTTAAAAATGGCTTATGATAAAGTAACACGTGTAGAAAGTATGTATACGTGGAAAAAGTGAAAATTTCGGGGTTTGATGAAATTTTTCGCAGGTTTGATCACCGAAGCAGAGTGGCGCAGTGGTAGCGTGCTGGGCCCATAACCCAGAGGTCCGTGGATCGAAACCACGCTCTGCTAAGAAGTCAACAATTATTTTTTTTCTCTTTTACTTTTGCATTTCATCCCTTACAACCACCCTGTGTAAGTTTTCATAATTTTTTTTTTGCAGTTTTATAGAGGTGTATTATAAGAAAAATTTAATTGTCAGAAAATGCTGTCAGAGTTTCTGGTTTGCTGGAGCAAAAAAGATTTATCAAAAAATCAACCCTCTTTAGCAGAGCGTGGTTTCGATCCACGGACCTCTGGGTTATGGGCCCAGCACGCTACCACTGCGCCACTCTGCTTCGATGAAAAGTGTCGGTAAATTATTTTCCACCTGATAAAACTATAAATAGTTTATTTTTTATATATTTCATTTGGCAGGTTTCATATTTATACGTAGGAAGGTGTTCTAGTTCGAAAAAACTACAACTTATTCTCTTTGGAATCAAATAAATCATTTTTATGAGTATAGTATCGCGGAGAAAAAACAAGTAACATTGCATGATAACATACAACATTATCTGTTATGTAAAAAATGTCGCAATGTTATATTATATGTCTCGCAATAAAAAGTGTATTTTAACAAGTATTACGTGAACGTAATACGTAAGCAAATAAGTTCTTCGTTATATTTCTACATTGCTATGTTATTAATAATTGGATATTATTGCATCAATCTTTTGAATCCTTGCAGTTATTGATTTATTTCATTTCCACCCCCTCTAGTGTAGTGAAGTAACACTTTAAGAAAGCATCATTCACAACAGCAGAGTGGCGCAGTGGAAGCGTGCTGGGCCCATAACCCAGAGGTCCGTGGATCGAAACCACGCTCTGCTAAGACGAAGGGCTCTTTATTTTTTTTTCATTTTTTTTTCGTGATTCCATAGTAAACTTGTTCACTACTCTATTTTCACGTTCGAATATTTTTTAAAAATATTTTTTACCGCGAAAAACACAATTATAAGAAAATTATCAATATTTTGTCAACTTCTACCACATAAATCACTATAATTCACAATTAAAAAATATTTTATTTTCACACAATGTTCTACAAAATCTTGTTCAAATAATATTATTAAATCTAACAAACCATTTTTCAAGCCTATGATATTAACATATCCGTAACCAGCGTCAGATACGTGTTACCTATAGGTAATACATCATGAAAAATCCACAGTTTGCGTATTTAATACAAATTACGTATGCATAAGTGGTATGTGCTATATTAAGTAAAGCTGATAAAACTATAGATACGAAGAATCTAAGTAAAAATAATGCGGTGCACAGCAGAAGTTGCTTCAACATTAACTTATCTAAAAATCTGTTTATAAATCTAAGTACAACTTCGTATAACCTTCTCCTACATTTAACAGTAATTACAATTCTCTTACCATTTTTCCTTCACTAAAAAGGACACAATACCAACAAAAGAGAAATGATCGAATTCTTTATCAAATTTTATATCCAATTGAAAAGTGCTTACGAAAAATTGTCAAAAGAGCCTTTAAAATACTATAATCGGCGAGCAACCCCCGAATGCGGCAGACCAGACAGTTCGAACAGGCGGACATTCGTTGAGACGGGGTGTAGAGGTGGAGAAAAAGGGGACGGCCAGAGGCAGCGGCATTATTTCAGGAAATATCTGATCGGTCGTGACGTCGCGACGGCGACATAGGCGCACATACGGCACATGTAGCTACACGTGTCCGACGCACTTTATCGCGCATAATTAATCCGGCCTAGCCAGCGACGGACGATGAGCCCGTGGTGCACGAGAAACCCATAGTTTCCTCGTTCCTTCGTTCAGAGAAAAACGACCATCAGAAGCACGAGGGTCCCGTCTTGTTCTTCTCTCTCCCCCCCTCTCTCTCTCTTACTGTCTCTCTGTTCCTTCGTATACTAACGCGCGTATGAGCGTTGATCGGATAATCGAGGTCCGTGCACACACACCACGCACTGAAAGGCCGCTCGAGAGAGAGAGAGTGCAGCTAGAAAATAGATCGAATTAACAGGCACTGTGCACCGTGGCCACGGTTGTCCGGCCTTCGACGCCTGGAATAATGCAATAAATCAGTCGGTGGAAATGATACCGAGAGAGCGCCGGTTGCTACGAACGCCGGGGAGCGTGTAAGCTCTCGTAGAAATAGGAAGACGCTCGCGTTGCCGAGTGTCCATAGTGGGCAGGTTATCTGGCGAACAAGCAGTCATGAAGTCGCCAATGATATTTGTCTTCTTTCTTATCTTTTCGTTTTTGGAAGAGGAAGAAGATCATCGCCACCTCTCCTCAATGGAGAGGTTATTGGTTTGGGAATTCCAAGGGGAGGATGTATGTAAGGGTTGAAGTTTTACCGAAGCAGGTAGAATTAGGACTTTCAGTAAAGTCAGTTCTGTAAGTGCTCTTGTACAATTTCGAAGAGGAATCGATGAATTATTCTTAGGCTTGAAAAAAAATTAGAATTGTTTTCCAGAAACTCTCAATCTTTCATCTCTCTCAATAAATACAATTTCAGCTTCTTTGTCACAGCCATAAAAGAATAATCATTTAAATAACTTACTCGCAGACGTTTAACAGAGCACAACGCAGTAAAGTTGTATAATGTTCTAGTACCGATACTGTTAAGAGAATAAAGAAGCTCAAGGGGGATGTTCGAACCATTTCTCTACCTGGTAGCATAATTTCTACGATGCCCGGTGCCATGGGCTCACAGAGGAAGGGCACTGGTCGAATTGTCGCGATAGGCCATTAGCTGGTCATAGTTGTCCGGGGCTCGGTAACCGGGAATAATATAATAAATCACGCGATAGAAGGGAACGGGAGCTTTCGAGGTACGTTGCATTTCCGATAGGCGGAACAGCGTAGCTGCACGTAGCTCTGCACCTTCTTGTAACATTCGTGTTGGCGGTGCACGGATCTCACGACTTCCATGTTACTCACACCATCCCTATGTTACGATATTACCCCGGTGACGATAATAGGATGCCCGCTTCTGTCATGGAAAACTTTACTTTCTTAAGAGAAAACAGTAATAGTCGGCGTTACCCGTGATAGAATAACGGGGAAGGTGGAACTTTTGGTAAAAAGATGTTCCTTGACATTTTCATCACGAAAATGTTAAGAATTCAGCAGTATTGCTACTTTTCGTAATGTGACAGCACCGATTACAATTTTGGGAAACGGAACTTTCTTCTCAGGATATTCTTGAACTCAGTGCTCATGTAAAATGCGTGCAAAAGACGATTAAAGACGATCCTGTTCCTATAATTAAGTATGCCAATGCGATTTTTTAACTTTGTCCCAACGTTCTGGTAAAACTTGTAATTTTCAAATGGCAGAAACATTGGACTCTTGATGAACTGATAAAGATCTAACATAATCGAACTCCACGGTAAAACAGTGAACGAATACTCCAATTTCCTCGAATTTTCCAATTTTTTTTCTTTTCGCAACCATTCCAGAGACCCTCGAATCATCGAAAATCGAAATAAAAATCGAAATCCTCTTGCTCCGGAGGAACGTAAGCACGAAGACGATCCCCGTCGGGCGTCCACGCACGGTCGCCCATAAAACTCGATCTCTCAATAAATATGGGAACGCACCAGAGCGTCGCAAGCCGTGTGTATCACGTCTCATGGAAACGTTGCGGCTAGTGTCCCTAGGAAGGGAGCCACAGGCTTGGCTCTCTCTCCACGGGGTCCTGGATGAATTTCAGGGATCGTCGTGGATCGAAACCCCCGAGACTTTCCCTAGTCAGCAACCCTGCTGAGCGTTCCGTTTGCTCTAATTTTAATTAAACCCTATCCTACACAAGATTTCCGTGGTAATCGAGCAGCCAGCCCACGGCCATACTTCATTGGGACACGCTCGACGTGTAATTGCTTCGCGTTGCCCTTTATTCCGCCCCGCTAACATGGCTCAAGCCAATTTTATTCCCGTCCGCGCGGTCCCCGCGTATATCAAGCCGGACCAGCCATCGGCCCGTACGTGTAATTTTCATTAATACGTGATTTATTCCGGCGACGCGTGATTTATGGAATTATATCGACGTCGAGTGAGCCGCGACGCGCGTTTCTGCGTTTCTCGCTGGCCGGTTCTTCCCTCTCTCAAAGCCACCTTTCTTCGATCATTGCTGTGGGAAGGGTGAAACACCTTGGAAAGCTAAGGGAAATATTTTTGTTCGACTTTTTTCCCAATGTTTTAATCATTCTTTAAGAAGATAAATTCACTTCAAAGGCGTATGTACTTAAAGTAGTAAATAAAAATCGTAGAGGTGTGTATCTTTCTGAGTCCTCCAGTATGTATGTAACTCCCTAAGAAATCTTTAGATCTAATTCCAACGCTATCCAGAATCATTTTTCACGAAGCTCCTCATTTCCTCCAATTATTTACACAAATCATTGTACTTAATTTTCACCCGACAATATCAATCCTCCAGATGTCTAACCCTTTAAGAAATCTCTAGTCCTAGATCTAACACTAATCGGAGCAACAGTTTTTCAAGCTCTTCAATGTCCTCAATCCTTTATTAAACTCATTGCACACAATTTCCACCAGGAAAGTAGTCACCTCAGCAAAAAACAAGGAAAGAAAAAAAGAAGCTTCTAATCGACGTAACGAGGAACGAAAGGTATTAAAGGTGTCGGTGTTCGGGTTCGAGGAACGAGCCTCCCGCAAAATTCGTTGACCCCACCCTCTTTTATTTTCCACACGGCAAGAGCTTCGCTCACATTTATTTTTCCCCATGTAGAGCTCGCTCTTTCCTTTACTCTCTCTCTCTCTCTCTCTCTC